TACAAAACCATGGAATCCATAGGATGGAGCCATGGCAGTTCAAGTGTCATTCTGCAATCCAGGTGGTCTATCAGTATGGTCTGAAAGCCGGATCTCAAGTCTTGGGGTGCATATACACTGCGGAATTAATGCAGTTTTACCCCTCTTGAACTGCCAAGGCTCAGTGTTATGGGATCCTGGGAGTTGTAGTTTGGCAATGCCAAAGAGTGCCAAACTACAAATCCCATGATTCCACAGCATTGAGCCTCTGCAGTTCAAGCGGGAGCAAACTGCACTCAGGGCAGATCAGCCATGTATTGCAATCTTTCTCAATAACACTATGGAACATGATTTTTCCCTTCTTTTCTCTTGGCTCCTGAAACGTAAGTCTTGTGTCCTTCTGCTTCTGCATTTGAGTTTCTAATCGGTTTGGATGCTCTGTAATCTGCCCTCTACTCTATGAAAGATGTCCTACCTGAGTGCCTTTATTGATGACATTATTATAATAATAATTATTATTATTATCTTGTTCATTCGTTCAGTCACTTCCAACTATTTGTGACTTCATGGACCAGCCCATGCCAGAGCTTCCTGTTGGCAGCGTCTGCCCTCCTCCCCCTAGCTTCTTCAAGGTTGAGTCAATCCCTTCAAGGAGAACATCCATCCATCTTGCCCTTGGTTGGCCCCTCTTCCTTTTTCCTTCCATTTCCCCCAGCATCATTATCTTCTCCTGTCTTTTCATTATGTGGTCAAAGGACTTCATCTTTGCCTCTAATATCCTTCCCTCCAGTGAGCAGTTGGGCTTTCTTTTCTGGAGTGTGGACTGGTTTGATCTTCTCGTGGTCCAAGGCACTCTCAGAATTTTCCTCCAACACCACAGTTCAAAAGTGTCTATCTTCCTTCACCCAGCCTTCCTTATTATCCAGCTCTTGCATCCATAGGGGTAATACCATTGCTTTAACTATGCAGATTGATTCATTGCCAGTATGATGTCTCTACGCATAACCAATTTATTGAGATTGGTTATTGCTCTCTTCCCAAGAAGGAAACATCTTCTGATTTTCTGGCTGCAGTCTGCGTCTGCAGTCATCTTCACACCTAATAATACAAAGTCTGTTGCTGCCTCCACATTTTATATTTATTTATACCCTGCTTTATCTCCCCTGAAGGGGACTCAAAGCTGTTTTTGTTCCTGGATTATAAAGGTCATATCCTAATTCATTCTAACATAAAAACATGGGAAAAGTTGAATAAACTGCCCAAACTTTGGTTTTTACATGGCATCCTGCAGCACATTTTGCTCTAGTTTTTCAATGAATATCTCATCATTTAGTCTCAACCAATTCAACATATAACCCTTCCAGACAGGCCCTATATCCCAGAATCTGATCCCATGTTTTCTACTTTAAACTGGGGGCCCTTCCATACAGCCCTATATCCCAGAATATCAAGGCAGAAAAGCCCACAATATCTGCTTTGAACTGAATTATCTGACTCCACACTCAGATAATGTTCATAAAGGGAAAAGGGGGCATGCAGGATTGGGGAAAGATTGGCCTTTGTCATCTGAAGTTCATAAGGGAAGACATGGTTATAAAATATTATTTACTTGGCATTCCCTTTTGCTAGCCTCAGACAGAAAGGCCTTGGAATCCTTTGTCTGTAAGTCATTGACTGGTATGGGGGACAATTAGCACAGTTGTTAATTCATGGGTCTGCTTAGGTAGGCCAAAGGTCAAATGCCTTTTGTGACAGGGTTACCAGTAAATATAGCAATTACCTTTTGTTATAAATATGTGAAATATAGGGCATAAATCTTGATTAAATTGGCTATGATTCTATGTTGTGACGGTGCGGATTTGTTAATGTGTTTAGATTAATGTGTAATATGGTTTGTTGATATATTGTGTGCTTTTGTAAACTGTTTTTTATATGTTGTACACCGCCGCGAGTCGCCCCAGGGCTGAGAGCGGCGGTCAACAAATGCAGTAAATAAATAAATAAATAAATAAATGTACACACAATTTAACATGGGAATGGTCCTTGTTGTGGTTGTTAGTCCTTCTGCAGATTGGCCAAAACTTAACTCTTATTATATCATTCTGATGTTGAACACGAATTTGGAAGGCCCTGCCAAGGCAGAGACCAGCTAGACCCAAAAGGGGGATCCAAAACATCTGGCAAGACAGCAAGCACAAAGAAAGATTTTCCCTTAATTTCCCAAATAAAGTCTCACCAAGTTGAAGGAAAGCCACCGAAGTTTTTATTTCATTCCAGTTGGAACGGATGACGACTGCAGTTATCTGCCTGAGGAGCTGACATGCTTACTGGGCAAGGAAATAAAATATTTATAGAACTGTCAAATTCAAATCTCCCATGCCCACCTCCTGGTGGTTGGAGTATCAGCTGACTGGGAGGAGCAGCCGGGGAGGCTGCGTTCTGTCCAATCAGAGCACTAGCCCCGCTTCGGCCACTCAGCCAATGAGTGGAGAGGAAAGCGGGCCAGAAGGGAAACAATGAATGAATGAGTAAAGTGATGAGATTATGAATGGCCTCTTCCGCGCCTGTATTGATAAGAGGGCCAAAGCGATAGCTTAGCTCTCAAGCCTCAGCCCAGACTATTGTCCTGAATCTTGAAATATCATCTTTTGTCTGGCCCCAAAGGATAGTTCCATTGTCTTATAATCCAGTGATATTTACTTGATGATGAGAGAGTTTTCACAATGGGCAGTGACACATAGGTGCCTTCTGTGTTGAATGTTTTACCGTGTCCATGGGCCACATCTTCCTGGATGGTCTGGTTAATGAGACCCTCCGAAGTCCTGGAGAGAGGCCATTGGTCCATGCAAATGGTTTTGGTCAAGTCCTTTTGTTAGGGGATTACTGGCTCAGGAAGTTGTGGAGTCCCTAGAGCCATGAGTTTCTGGCATGGTTCATGAAAAGCTCACTTTGCTTCATAACTTTTATACATACACACATATAATGGATGGTGGCACTGTAGGGGCAAAAACGATCAAGATAATCCACAAATCCAAAATCCAAGAGCAGATTGCCCCTTCCCAAGGAGGGCGAGGAAGGACACCACGAAAGTTGAATCTTTAAAACTGCAAAATGCTATTTATTGCGCAGCTGAAGCAATAGTGACAAACATGCATATAGAAATGCAATAAAGGGGTTTGTCCAACCTAAAGTTGGTTGCATTGATTATTTATGACTTTCATTAAAACAGTTTGATTGGTACATAGAAATCAATCATCTCATTGGTTCCCAAAGACAAATCATTTCATTGGTCTAAGTTAGCTATGCAGTTGTTCATTAGTTGTTTATGATTTTGATTGACATTATAGCACACGTGGGATCCTAACAATGGCACAACTATAACATAACTATGGTCCATTGTTCTCTGACCATGACTGTATCTTATCTGTTAGTCTGTTGCAAACATGGCTTCAGAGCGACTGGGAAACTTGGGGGTTCTATCTAGCAAACAGCTAGCTGGTTTTGTCCGGATATGTTGTTACCCTTGAATAGTAACTTCTTCTTTGGAGCACTGATTTCTCAAACAATCAGCATTTTCTGTGAACAAAGGCCTACTGCAGAAATAGGCCAATATGGCAGTAAATCATGACATATGGGCATTGGGGAAATATATGAAAATTCCCTTTTTAAAACCACGTCCCCTCCAGCACGAGGCATATACAGAGATCATATGAGAAAGGGGGAGGCATGCAGGGTCAAGGGGGAATTCATCTCAGTCACCCCAAAGTCCATAAAGTTCATGAAAGTTGGCAAGAAGTTAATAAAAGTTCTCAAAGGTTTCAGAAAGTTCATGAGAGTTCATACAAGTTAATAAAGGTACCGAGTAGCTAAAGTCCATTAATAAAAACAGGAGGTTCATTCATAAGTCCAATTCATAAGTGGCGAGATTGGCCTGCCAGTGGTTGGGGGTCCCAAGGAGTGACCACAGGAGACTCCCCGGGTTTGAGAGGCATCCAAGTCAACGTGCACAAGAAGAACAGGTTGTGTGGAGCCATGGAAATAAACCTTCTGGTCTCCACATAAGGTTCCATGCAAAGAGGTGGATCTCCGGGCGCAGGGGTCCATTCAGCAAAAAGTAAGACAGCAGTTAGTCTTAGAATTGACCCAGGAAAAAGATGACATTGATTTGGAGTCGATCGGTCAACCTGCAGACACCAGTGCCAAGCTGGTTTCCATATCCGCGGTTTGAAGGATCGCAGTTTCGGGCTCCCCAGGACATTGTAAGTGTCGCAGGTGAGCCAGCGGAGTTCCGCGGCTCGGGAAGAGGAGGGTTCATATTAATTGGTGTTAGAGTCAGTAAAGGGACACAATGTATCATTGCAGAGAGAGAAAAATTGGAGAAAATGATACTTTTTGTTGGGGGGATTGTTACAATGAAGCGGGGGGGGGGGACTAGGAGGGAGGAAAAAGGTTTCTCAATTGAAGCTGTTACTGGAGCCCCAGTCCTTTGGTTCATCTTGAAAGTCCATGTTGTCAGGAACTGTGGAACTCCCTGCTGCATTCAAATCAGTTTGAAGGGGGGGGACTCTGAGTTCGACCTGAATTCCAGCTTGCTGTCCTTGGCAAAACTATGAATTCCCTGATTATAAACTATCTTTTATCGGGGGGGAGGAGTCATGTTTGACTACACTTCCACACAGCCCTATATTCCAGAATATCAAGGCAGAAAATCTCACAATATCTGCTTTGAACGGGGTTATCTTAGTCCACACTCAGATAACGTGGGATTTCCTGTCTTAATATTCTGAGATATAGGGCCGTGTGTACGCCCTAACTGAACGCGGAAACACTTCACGGAGCGTGTGGGTCTATAACTGAGTCGAGTCTATGTTCAAGGCACTAAGAGATGGACGGCACCTGTGCTTTCCGCCTAAGGGAAGCGCTGTGGTCCAAAACTAGTGATGACAACGAGCGCGGGTAAAGACGCGCGAAGGCTTCACGGAGCGCATGCGCAAGACAAGGAGGCGGGGGAAAGATCCGGAAGCGGCTTGTGCGCCTGCGCGAGGGAGCCGAGCTGCTCCTTCGCTCGCTCTGAGGCGAAGGAGAAAAAGAGCGGGTCTCGAAGGGGGAGGGGAGGGGGCGCGCGCTCTGCGCCGCTTTCTCCGCGGCTTTCTCCGTGCTGCGGCCATGAGCGTCGCGGCCTTGGTTTCCCCCGCCCTGCCCTCGCCGGGGCCGCCCCCTCCTCCCACCGCAGCCGTTTCTACGACCACGGCGCTTCCCCCCGGGACAGGCCCCGCCCCCGCCGCCGAGAGCTATGAGGAGGAGGACCTAGACAGCCCGCTCGACGAAGAGGATGGCGAGCGGAGCGGACGCGCACGGGACTCCGACGAGGGTGAGTCTGGAGCGGCTTCTCAGGGGGCATCCACAGTCCAGACCTCACGCGGTTTCGTGCCGCTCTCTTTGCCCCGGCTCAATGCTGTGGGCTCCCGGGAGTTGTCGTTTGTCGAGCCTTTGCCAGGGAAGGCGCCGGACTTGGTGAAACGAACAGCCCCCGGGATTCTGTCGCCTTGGCAGTTCCGCTGGTTTCGAACCGCGTTAATCCGACAGTGTAGGTGTCAGAGCGATGGTGCGAAGAGAAAAGGGAGATGTATTGTCGAAGGCTTTCATGGCTGGAATCACTAGGTTCTTGTGGGTTTTTTCGGGCTATAGGGCCATGTTCTAGAGGCATTTCTCCTGACGTTTCGCCTGCATCTATGGCAAGCATCCTCAGAGGTAGTGAGGACCTCACTACCTCTGAAGATGCTTGCCATAGATGCAGGCGAAACGTCAGGAGAAATGCCTCTAGAACATGGCCCTATAGCCCGAAAAAACCCACAAGAACCTAGAAAAGGGAGAGCTCGCAACGCTTCCAGGGCCCCTTCCACGCCACTTATTAAAATCGTACATTATCTGCTTTGACCTGGAATATATGGCAGTGTGGACTGAGGGCCCTTCCGCACAGCCCTATATCCCAGAATATCAAGGCAGAAAATCCTACAATATCTACTTTGAACTGGGTTATCTGAGTCCACACTCAGGTAATGTGGGATTTCCTGCCTTGATATTCTGGGATTTAGGGCAGTATGGAAGGACCCGCAGATAACCCAGTTCCACACAGATTTTGAGGCCTTCTCTGCCTTGATATTCTGGGTTATATGGCTGCGTGGAAACACCATGGGTTCTCCGAGTCCACACTTCCAGATCACATTGGGTCTTTCCACGCAGCCGTATAACCCAGAATATCAAGGCAGATAATCCCTAAGGTTATGCTTTGAACTGGATTATTTGAGTCCACACTGCCAGATAGGGCTTTTACCCCAGGAGCTGATCTCAGGTTTTCTGTTTATCCCAGATTATCTGGCAGTGCAGACTCATGTCATCCAGTTTAAAGCAGAAAACCTGGAATTAGATCCCATGTTATATGGCTGTGTGGAAGGGCCCCCAGAATATCAAGGCAGAAAATCCCACAATATCCGCTTTTAACTGGGTTATCTGAGTCCACACTGTTATATATTCCAGTGCAAAGCAGATAATGTGGGATTTTATTCAGCTGTGTTGAAGGGGCCCCTTTCTACACTGCCATGTAATCCACATTCTCAAAGAATTGGATTATATGAGGCCCTGTCTACACTGCCCTGTATCCCAGGATCTGTAACCATGTTTGCTCTTTATCCCAGGTTATTTTATTGTGGTGGTGGTGGTGGAGGATGTCACATAACTGTCACCTCTGGTTGCTTGACAGATCCCTCCCCCCCCCATCTTGATTGACAGTTGCTCGAGGATTCTGGTTGCTCAGGTTCCCGCTAACTGAGGGGCCTTCCGCACAGCCCTATATCCCAGAATATTAAGGCAGAAAATCCCACATTATCTGAGTGTGGACTCAGATAACTCAGTTCAAAGCAGATATTGTGGAAATTTCTGCCTTGATATTCTGTGTTACATGCCTGTGTGGAAGGGCCCTCAGAATCTGCTGTTACAATTTTTTAAAAATCTAAACCGAAGCAACCTGGGATAGGTTTGTGGGAGCAGATAAACCCAATCTGTGTAGAATCCTGGGATTTGTAGTTTGAGAAGCCACCAGCAGTCTCAAGGCCTTGCCAAACTACAGTTCCCATGGTTCCCTGGCAGTGAGCTGTTGAACTATTCATTTGACAGTGTGAGAGAGAGCATCCCGCCTCCCTCTCACACTGCCTTTCCCTTTTTCCTTTGTGCCATGTCTTCCTTAGATTGGAAGCCTGGGGCAGGAAACTGTTGGGTTCTTGTTTTTGCAAAGCCTGGCGCCATGGAAACAGATGGAGGAAATCAGGATGCTCTTCACCCCCAAAATGTTCCCCAATTGTCTGCGTGAGCCGGTGTGATAGCAACTCTTCTGCTTTCACGTGGCTTGATATAAACAAACCATGCTTCATGTCCAATGTTTTGTTTTTTTAAAAAAAAACATTGTGCATGTGAAACATAAGTGGATTTTGTGTTTAGACCCAAGATATCTCACAATATATGTGCAAATATTCCCCAACACCTCTGGTCCCAAGCATTTCAAATAAAGGATTCTTGAGCAATTATTATAATAGATGTGACATTCCTATTGATCTGTCTCTAGGGTTTGAGTATAGAAAGAAATAGAAATCAAGACCTGGTAATGGGTTTCAGACCAGCCTTCCCTTTATAATACTAAGTAACACAATTTTTGTTCCTGGGTTATAAATGTCATTCCTGATTAGTTCTTTCATAAAATATGGAAAACGTTTATTAAACTGCATCTTGCAGCACATTTTGCTCTAGTTTTTCAGTAAATATCTCATAGAGTCTCAACCAATTCAATGTAATTTGTGGCAGCCACAAACATGAAGTTTAAAAGTAAGCACCGTACAATCAAACAGCTCCTTTAAAAGTAAGCACCGTACAATCAAACAGGAAAAACACTTTCAAACCAGGAACAGAACATTTTTCAAAATTTGTTACTTAGGGTAATCAACTTAGTTTCTTTACAATGGTAAAGCAGATGCCCAGATCCCTTGTCATTGAAGTAGGTGCATAGACAAAAATCTACTGGTTGCTTGTACTCTGATGCAATGCTGATGCTCCTGTTGTTCAGATACAGAAGATGCGAGTGAAACGGATCTGGCAAAGCATGATGAGGAGGATTATGTCGAAATGAAGGAACAGTAAGTAGTATTTCTCTTCTTGAACATTTACTGTATGTCTTTTCTCAGTCAGTGTGGCCAATTACTGGGGAATTGTATTTTAAAATGTAATTGGAAAAACTGAGAAAACTCCTTCCTTGCTTTTCTCCAGCCTTTTTTACTCATGGCTCCCGAAAAATGAGTGTTGTCTCTTACTGCTTCAGCATTTGAGCTTCTAATCCATTTGGATGCTCTGTAATGTGCCCTCTACTCCATGAAATATGTTCTAGCTGAGTGCCTTTATTGATGACATGATGGCCCCTTCCACACAGCTGAATAAAATTCCACATTATCTGCATTGAACTGGATTATATGGCAGTGTGGACTCGGACAACGCAGTTCAAAGGAGATATTGTGGATTATCTGCCTTGATAGTGCAATGATGAATGGAACGGCTTTGGATTATGTTTTTGGACTACATGGTTTTAATGTTTGATTTTTTTAGCTTTTTGGTTTTTAATGTATTTGTTTATTTTATCTGTATGTATTTGTGCGGCATCGAATTGTTGCCAACTTATAAGGCCACTCTGAGTCCCCTTCGGGGTAAGAAGGGCGGGGTATAAATATAGTAAATAATTAAATATTCTGGGTTATATGGCTGTGTGGAAGGGCCCTTAGTAATGCGATTTTTTTAACTGGGTTATAAATGTCATTTCCTTATTGGTTCTATCATAAAAACATGGAAAAGGTTTATTAAACTACAAAAACTTTGTTTTTGTGGTCTGCACAAAATGTTAAAAATAGCACATGAAAGGTTTAAAATGGCACATCAAATATGGCAGCCACAAAAACAAAGTTTCTGGAGTATAACTACTTTCAAAGTACCACACAATTAGACAGGAAATAACACTTTCAAACCAAGAACAGAATTTTTTTGAAATTTTGTTACCTAGTGTGATTCACCCTCTTCGACTTCTGGTACTATCTTTGATAAAATCCACTTTACAGTTACCAGAAAGGAGCCCATTTGCAGACATTATTTTAGCACTATCCCACTTTTAATTGCCATGCTTCCATCAAATCTCATGGCTTTCAACATGAGTATGAAGTACACTTCCTTTTTTCCCTTCACTGTCAATATCACTTGATAGGATTGCTATCCTTTGAGGTTGGAGGTGTTAGCTTCTGTAAATTCTCCCTCCTAATAATAATAATAATAATAATAATAATAACAACAAAAACAACAACAACAACAACTTTATTCTTATACCCTGCCACCATTTCCCTGAAGGGACTCGGGGCGGCTCACAGATGGGGCAAAATGCCCACAGACACAAATACAAAACAATTCATCAAAGCAAAAACACAATTAAAATAAAGACATAGTTAAATATAACAATCCAGATGGAGCCCCCAGTGGCGCAATGGATAAACCCTTGTGCTGGCAGGACTGTTGACCGATAGGTCAGCGGTTGGAATCCAGGGAGAGCAGGTTGAGCTCCCTCTGTCAGCTCCAGCTCCCCATGTGGGGGCATGAGACAAGCCTCCCACAAGTATAGTAAAACAGCAAACATCCGGGCGTCCCCGGGGCAATGTCCTCATAGACAGCCAATTCTCTCACACCAGAAGCGACTAGCAGTTTCTCAAGTCACTCCTGACACGGAAAAAAAACAGTCCAGAGGAAAGCACAATTCAGTAAAACACAAGACGTTATAAAACAGCAATGTTAAAACTCAGTCAAAACAATACTCAAGCGTATTAATTGAAATTGAATGTAAAATGAATATTTTTGAGTATCTTCTTTTAATACGTGGGGTTTGTTTTTGTTTTTTTTGCAGGATGTATCAGGATAAATTGGCATCTCTCAAGAGGCAGCTACAGCAACTACAAGAAGGTATTGTTGTGGTTATTTACTAATGGACTAATATTCTGCCTTATTCCTAGTATTGAGAGTCAAGGTGGCTTACAAGATACTAAATAAAATATAGATACGAAGACATAAGTAGAAACACATAGATGTTATTTTAAGATAAAAGTTAAACAATCTATAGCAGTAGTTCTCAACCTGTGGGTACCCATATGTTTTGGCCTTCAACTCCCAGAAATCCTAACAGCTGGTAAACTGGCTGGGATTTCTGGGAGTTGTAGGCCAAAAGACCTGGGGACCCACAGGTTGAGAACCCCTGATCTATAGAATTAAAACAATTGTGGGTATCTTAATTAGGGTTTAGCACCAGTTGCATGATTGTGCAGACATTGTAGGCGAGCGAGGAAAGGATATGAAGTTTTACCACTTGTCTTTGTTAGGTACTTTGCAGGAATATCAGAAAAGATTGAAGAAGCTGGATCAGCAGTACAAAGAGAGGATACGCAATGCAGGTTAGTAAATTGCATTTCTGATGGCTTAGGCCCCTTCCACACAGCTGAATAAAATCCCACATTTTCTATTTTGAATTGGAATATATTTATTTATGGTATTTCTATATGGCAGTGTGGAATCAGGTAGCCCAATTCAAAGCAGATATTGTGGGATTTTCTGCCTTGATATTCTGGGTTATATGGCTGTGTGGCAGGGCCCTTGGTTGAGAGAGGTTTATTTAACCTAGTTCAGTAAAGGAACTCATACATGTGTGAGCCTTTTTCAGCCCCAGATTGTTTTGGCTTCTTCCATGACATTCTTGTCCTAATCAGGTTAAATCAGTTCTCCAATTGTTGAACTACAAATCCCAGCAGCCCTAGCTAGTGGTGAAGATGCCACAAGTTGGCCCTCCAACATCTCGAGGGCCACAGCATTCTCTTCTAGTTGAGAGAGTCTATCACAGAGCCCTATGGCAACTTTAACAATACTGTTTTAGGCAAAATAATGCCATGGTCTCTTTATTGTGATCCTAATTACATTGCCTATGCCTTAAAGTCTGCAGCTATCAATGCATTCCTTCTAAGGTAGTCACTCTGGGGTTTTACTGGAAGTAACTGTTTACATATTCCTTTGAATGACTGTTACTTGGTGTCTTTTCTTTCAGAGCTTTTTCTCCAGTTGGAAGTAAGTGCGTGTCTTTTTTCCTTTTCTGTTTCTTGGTCTTACTGGCAAAGTCTGTGCATTGGGTTGGATCCACACTTAGTGCTTCTTAAAATTAGACTAATGGATTTCCACAGAACCAATCTCAGGTTTGACGAAGTCTGGATTCATCCCTCTGTTGCAGAAGTTTTGAATAGGATTGCTTTTCTTAAGATCACTGTCGTGGCCTTTCTCCTTTTTGGATCATTCTGTATTTTCTTTTGCGCCCGTATCAGACAGAGCAGGTGGAACGGAACTACATCAAGGAAAAGAAGGCAGCCGTGAAAGAGTTTGAAGATAAAAAAATTGAGTTGAAGGAAAACCTAATTGCTGAATTGGAAGAGAAGAAAAAAATGATTGAAAGTGAGAAGTTAACCATGGAGCTCACAGGAGGTGAGTAAAAAGGCAAGCTTGTCTTGTCTTAGCGAGGAAGGGCGACATCAGTGGTAGATTGCAACCTTTTTGCTTGTCCCTAATCTTATCTGTCATATCAAGAATGAACCAAGGGTACAGTTGTGATGTATTTGAGAAAAACACAAAGTTTAAAAACTTGGCTTTATATTAAATGTGTTTTAACCCTCTGGTATTACTTGGAGTCCCTCTGATATTACTATAAGGAGGTCCTCCATTGTGCATGTGGCAGGGCTCAGGCTGCGTTGCGAGTTTGTTCTCCATACTCGCATGTTGTAGACTCCACTTCGTGGCCCCATTTCTTAAGGTTGGCTCTGCATCTCGTGGCGCCAGAGCGCAGTCTGTTCAGCGCCTTCCAAGTTGCCCAGTCTTCTCTGTGCCCAGGAGGGAGTCTCTTATTTGATATCAGCCATGGATTGAGGTTCTGGGTTTTTAGCCTGCCACTTTTGGACTCTCGCTTGCTGAGATGTTCCTGCGAGTATCTCTGTAGATCTTAGAAAACTATTTATTGATTTACGGTGTTGGCGTGCTGGCTGATATCCAAACGGGACTTCCCTAATTATGTTGATTGCGATGTGAATCACTGATTTTTATAGAACAACCTCCCTCCCCATTAACAGTGATAAGGTGTTGGTTGTGACTGTCCTTGATCCTGTCCTCATTCCGAATCTTTAGTTATAGTCCATAGATTCCGTTTGAGACTATTTATTAAGCTTTAGCACATACCTGAGTCTTCGGGTGCATCTAAGAATTAATGTACTTTGACAGTGCTTCAACTGCCTTTCTCTCTGTCTGCCTTCACTTAGATTCCATGGAAGTGAAGCCTATTATGACAAGAAAACTGCGACGGCGGCCCAACGATCCTGTTCCCATCCCCGACAAAAGGAGAAAGCCTGCCCCTGATATCCTTTGAGCAGCAACTTGTTGCGCTAGGGTTTTGTGGACTCCTTAAAGGCTGCTGGATAAAGACATTGATAATGATTAGCAGTTATCTGTCATTATCTAAAGATCTTCTGCTGCAATGTGTGGTTGCAATGGAATGTTAGGCAACAGGTCAGACCAATGGGCATGGTCTCTGTCTTGGCATTCTGACTCAGTGGCATAGAAAATCAGTGCTTATGAATGTAAGAGCCCTTAAGCACTTGTTGGAACCCCTGGTGGCGCAGTGGGTTAAATGGCTGAGCTGCAGAAATTGTTGATCAAAAGGTCGCAGGTTTGAATCCGGGAAGAGGGGTGAGCTCCCACTGTTAGGCCCAGCTTCTGCCAACCTAGCAGTTCGAAAACATGCAAATGTGAGTAGATCAACAGGTACCGCTCCAGCGGGAAGGACCGGCACTTCATGCAGTCATGCCAGCCACAGGACCTTGGGGTGTCTATGGACAACGCTGGCTCTTCAGCTTAGAAATGGAGATAATAATAATAATAATAATAAAAAAAAACTTTATTTGTACCCTGCTAACATCTCCCCAAGGGACTCGGTGCAGCTTACATGAGGCCAAGCCCACAATACATCAGTAAAAACAATAACAACAGTAATACAAAACAATAAAATAAAACTCATAATAGAAAATAAGCAGGAAACATTAACAATAACACAACAACATTTAAAAACCTATAGCTGGGCCAAATGTAATAATTAAAATTTTAAAATAATGCTGAGCATGACCAGGTGAAATATAACTAGTATAGAATTTTCAGAGAGGAATAGGGCATGCAGACAATCCCAGATCACGAATAAAGTGCAGTTAGGGACATATTGCTGGGAGTTTCCTTATTCTGGGAAGGCACACTGGAATAACCACATTTTCAGGCTCCTCCTAAAGACTGCCAGAGTTGGGGCATGCCTGATGTCCTTGGGGAGTGAGTTCCATAGTCGAGGGGCCACCATCGAGAAGGCCCTCTCCCTCGTCCCCACCAATCGCGCCTGCGATGGAGGTGGGAGCATGAGCAGGGCCTCTCCAGATGATAGAAGAGATCGTGTGGGTTCGTACATGGAAATGCGGTCACGCAGGTAGGCGGGTCCCAAACCGTTTAGGGCTTTGTAGGTAAGAACCTGCACCTTGAATTGGGACCGCAAAATGAACMGCAGCCAATGGAGCTCCTTAAACAGGAGGGTTGACCACTCCCTGTAAGGAGCACCAGTTAACAACCTGGCCGCCGCCCATTGGACCAATTGAAATTTCCGGGCCGTTTTCAAGGGCAGCCCCATGTAGAGTGCATTACAATAATCCAATCTGGAGGTGAATAAGGCATGGACCACCCTGGCCAGATCCGCCTTCATGAGGTATGGTCGCAGTTGGCGCACAAGTCTTAATTGTGCCAAGGCCCTCCCGGCCACCACCGGCGCCTGAGCTTCAAATGTCAGTGATGAGTCCAGGAGGACACCCAAACTGCAGACCTGTGACTTAAGGGGGAGTGCAACCCCATCCAACACAGGTTGCCACCCTATACCCCGATCCGGTTTACGATCTACCAGGACGACCTCTGTCTTGTCGGGATTGATCTTCAGCTTGTTCGTCCTCATCCAGACAGCCACAGCGGCCAGGCACTCGTCCAGCACCCGAGGGGCTTCCTTGGAGTTAGGTGGAAAAGAGTAATAGAGTTGCGTGTCATCTGCGTAGAGATGGCACCGAACTCCAAAACTCCGGATGACCTCTCCCAGCGGTTTCATGTAGATGTTAAAAAGCATGGGAGACAGAATGGAACCTTGCGGGACCCCACAGGTCAAAGGCCAGGGGTTCGAGCAGGCGTCTCCCAGCTTCACCATCTGGGAACAATCCTCCAGGAAGGACCGGAGCCATGACAGAACCGTGCCTCCAAGGCCCATCTTGGAGAGTCAACCCAGAAGGATACCATGATCGATGGTATCGAAAGCCGCTGAGATGTCCAAGAGAACCAACAGGGTCACACTCCCCCTGTCCAGCCCCCTGCGGAGGTCATCCACCAAGGCGACCAAAGCCGTCTCGATACCATGACCAGGCCTGAAGCCTGTAACCGATCCAGATAGTTGATGTCATCCTGGAGCTGAGAGGCGACCACCCGCTCCAACACCTTGCCCTAGAAAGGAAGGTTGGAGATTGGTCTATAGTTGTTCAAGACCATGGAGTCAAGGGAGGTTTTCTTCAGGAGTGGTCTGACCCTTGCTCCAACGATACATTAATGATCAGCATAAACCAATCAAACCACCGTTGGCCGATTTAATTAGCCAAGACGGGCAGGGGTCTAGAGCCGACGTGGTCGCCCTCATGGCCCCAAGGACCTCCTCCACATCCTCAGGACGAACAGCACCAACCCCAGAATCGGACACGACTGGACTTCATGTCAGGAGAAAACCTTTACCTTTACCTTTTTAGCACTTGTCCTGCTTACTGCAAGGCTTTGAAGGGCTTCAGTTCTGGATCTCTTTTTTCCATTATTGCATTAGCAGCTGGATGCAACATTTGTCTGCTTAGCACTTGGCCTCCCCAGACGAGTGAACTGTCCATGACTGATTTATTTAGTGAGTTTCTAAACCGCCTTTCTGGATAGATTACCTTCCTAAGGCTGCTCGCGGTGCTCAGTAAAACAGTTGTAGCAAGATTGCACAAAACAACGTTAAGGCCTTAAAACGTACCAAGATCACGCATGGGGAAGGGTGTATAAATCAAACAAATGACAACTGCAATTAAAAGCATTGTAGTTTTAGTTAGCCTGGTGGAGGAGAGGTTCAGAACTCACCCTTAGGATGTGGAGCCACATATTTTATTTCAAAACTATGGGCCCTTAATTTGTATTACCTCAGCTGAATTATTTATTAACGGATGAGCAGATAATGGAGGATTTGAGAACCCTTAATAAGGTAAGTATATTAAGCATAAATGCTTTAGGGTGGGGGGAGCCCCACCAGGTATTGGATTACATCTCCCATTAGCCTAAATCAGCTTAACTAGTATTGAAGGATCATTGGTGCTTCAGTTTAATAACACCTGGGGAGCTACCAGTTGTCATTCTTCGATATACTGAGGTACGAGGAAAGACAGATGAACTCCCTTCTCTGACCACATGGTGGTACTAACCAACCAACATTTGTATTGCTGAATGGAGAAAAGCTTCCAGTGGACAGCCTGACTACCTTGAGAATGTTCAAGGGTCCCACTGCTTTTTTATTCTCATCCCAAGAATAGTGCAAAAGTGCCACATTCAGGGAGAACCTCTTGCAGTCTTCTATTTTCCTGTTCTCCAAGGAAAGCATCTACCAGAATATATAGGAACACATGTCTGGTGGTGGTGATGAATAATCCCGAAAGCTTTTACTTAAACTAGTAGACTGACTCAAAGCTTTGGTGCAGGCATTCTCAAACTCTGTGGCCCTCCAGCTGCTTGGGACTCCCAACTCCTAGAAGAATTCCTGCTCATTGAAAAAAACTGCCCAGAGCTTCTGGGAGTTGGAGGCTCAAACAGCTGGAGGGCTGCAGTTTGAGGATAACTGCTTTAGTGGCTCCAACTTAGTATATCTATTAAATTAATATATCTAAATACTTGTAGCCAGAAGCGGATTTTCTTTCTAGTTTGCCACATATTGATCTTACCACTATCTTTTATTATATACATGGTTACTCAAGTCAGTAAAACAGTTTTCTGATTCTTTTTTAGCTCAAATCACCTAAAAGGCCAGGTAAGTGTCTGTTGATACTCTTTTTACATCAGTAGCATTCAGAAGAACCTAGGGCCCTTCCAGACAGGCCCTATATCCCAGGTTTTCTGTTTATCCCAGATTGTCTAGCACTGTGGACTCATATAATCTAGTTTAAAGTAGAAAACCTGGGATCAGATTCTGGGATATAGAGCCTATCTGGAAGGGTCCATAGATAAAAGCCATAGCTCACTTGATAGGTTACCAGCATTGCCTGCCAGTGGTCCCAGGTTAGTTCTGGCCGCTCTGGTTAAAGGGATTTTTGTTTTTAATTTGCATTTAATCCTCATTTCATTATTTTTAGCTGTGCTGAGCCTAGAGGCATGGCATTGTGTGGGAAGGACTTTCTCTCTGAATTCTAGAGAGGCACTGTGTAGTGAAATCTTACCTAGTAGGCCAGAAAGGAAGCCTGGATAACAGTATTGCAGTCCTCCATTTTGGGAGTGTATGCCAGGGAGGCAGCCATCTTGAGTGAGGATAGTTAGAAGAGGGGAGGAGTTTGGAGTCTCCTAGGATTAGCTAGAGCAGTTGGGAGGAGCCAAGTCTTAGGAGGGAAAAGAATTCAGCTTCTGTGAGAGCTGAGAACTGGTGTGAAGAAGGGTTTTTGAAACTGGGTTTTCAGGGAGAGAGTGTCTGTGTTAGACAGTGCTGTGAGCTAACAGGAAAAAGGTCAGACAGCAACCTGATTTCTTGTGAGAGTTAACACAATAGATTAGCTCTCTAGGCTGGGTTAGTTAACAGGAAGAACTCTAGGGAAGAGTTAGTTAATAACCCAGGGGACTACCTAGGATAGGTTAGTCAGAACTCATTACTATTTCTATGAAGTAGAGTGAGGGTTTTTGTTACCAACAGCTAGATCTGTTTGGTTAGCTTTGTCTGTAACTAAGTGAAAAAACTTACTCAACCATCAAGCTGAAGTACTTTTGTAACAAGTTATGCTTTTTGTACCTCTCAGGAGTAGTTAGTTGTCTGTTTTTTATAAATAAATCTTGTTCTATTTAACTTTCAAAAAGATCTCTGCTGTACCTCATTTCATCATTCAAGCCTGTGTGATAGTTCCAACATTTTTAACATCCTGTTACTACAGAAAAGCCTCTTGACAAGCAGTTATTTTGGGAACCAGGGGAAAAGCAGTGTTGGCAGGAGTGGGAAAAGTTTACCTCAAATACTCATTTTAAAAATCCTAAAACTACTTAGGTTGGTGGCAGCTTTAATTCAAAAGCGAGATTAAAGAAAAGCAGTGTTCACTTCGCTATAGCACATATACATCATCGTCTCGCTACTATATTGGAGGCATAGGGGTGGGATTTTTTGAAGAAAAGAAAATCTTTGGGGAAGATCCATCCTGCCCAGACATATTATCAATAAGCCTCCAGCCTCGTGTCACCGGTTGCGTTATATATACATTATATTGGTGTCCAGTGGTGTGATATTATATATAATCCTTTACAGTGGTGTTCACCTGTGGGATATAATTTTATAAATTCATTAAAGTGGTGTCCAGCGGTGATATATTATCATACTTTCGTTATACACTGCTAGTTGAAACAACGTGTGTGTGTGTTGAAGGCAGCTCACACCATAAATTACAACATTAAGACAAACCTATCATATTAAATCAACCAGATTATGAATTCAGTTTTAAAAACTAGTCACTTTTTGGGCTAGATAAGACTAATAGTCTTAAGCTGGTGCGATGTAGCTTCTCTGTTTCTAAATCCATGGTCACATCATACAACGATTTATAGTCTTTGAGAGGTGAGGCTACCTCAATAGCAACTGAGGGTTTAGTGATAAAGTGCAGTTGAAGAAAGAACTCAGCTGTTCAGTTCATAACTATCGGATCGCCATTTCAGAGTAGATTGCTTCAAACGCTTGCAAAACAGCTCCCATTTTTATAAAAAGTGGAAGGCAATAGCTTAGGACCTATGCTTTGCATTGGAGGAGTCCTGCTTTCAATCCAAGTGAAATTCTGTCAGTTGGTAGGCGATATAGAACTACAGGGCCTAATGTTCTGACCGCACAGGTCTGTGCCAGTTTGACCAAAGTTTGGCAGAGGTTCTCTGCTTACAAAGCTGCCTGCTCTGTCCTCAGCTGGAGAGGAAGCCACAGTCCCTGGGTTTAGCATTGCCCACACTGAAAAGGTGGCTGTGTAGGTATTAAGCTGTGTATAGAGATCACTCTTCTATTCCAGCATCTCCTTCGTCACCAGAACACCTGCCAGCAACCCCTGCGGAGTCTCCGGCCCAGCGGTTTGAGGCAAGGATAGAAGAGGGCAAACTGTACTACGACAAAAGATGGTAAGGCAAGAGTGAATAATATTCTGAGATTATCTCTGTGTGTGTCCAAAGAGATGCTGCTTCTGTTATGCCTTAAAGAACCACAGTCAAAATTGGAACCAAGATACAGTGGATTTTCACCCAGAGGCAGTCTGTAAACCATCTATAGGTTCCTGGCAAAGCACTTCTGTTGCACGCCACAGATTTCAAGTCCAACATATTTCCACTTCTTGAGGTACTCTAGAACCACTGCCACATTTTCTCAACCTTTAACCATCTGCTTGTTTTGTACTTCAACTCCCAGAAGCCTCTGCCAATTTGAGGGATTCTGGGAGCTGAAGTCGGAAGCATCTTAAAGACTAAGGACTGAGAACTATTGCTCGGCATGTCATTTTTAGTTTTCTGCCACAAGATGGCAGAATGCAATCATATGTTATTTTTCTAGCAGAAAAAGCCTTCTTTCTGCTTTATTACTGTAATATATGTTTTTATAGATTACATCTACATGTGTCAGCTTGGTTCTGTGGATATTGCACAGCTGGAATATTGAACACTTCTCTGTGTTGTTGCTTGAAGTGACTGGACTGACCTTGAGGGAGCTGGGGGTGGTAACGGCCGACAGGGAGCTCTGGCGTGGGCTGGTCCATGAGGTCACGAAGAGTCGGAGACGACTGAACGAATGAACAACAACTGTGTTGTTGTTAAACAACAATGGAGTCAGAGCAACATTAGGTTATATATTGAGTCCTTTGCATCTCCCAAGACAGTTGATTTGGAGTATATGTGCCACTGTCCTTTTTCTAGTTCAACCAGGAAGTGAAATCTCTCAAACCCAAAGTACACGAAAGCAAAATCAATAAGGATCTTATTTGCTTGTCATGGCTGCTGTAGTCTGCAGGTTAACACTTAGCATTATGACCTTATTGTGTTTACTTCATTTACATCCCATCTTTGTCCCAGATGGGATTTACATTGACTTGTGCATGAATTGAAACAAGATACACACATTAAGAATTAATGATAAGAGTCTGCATGGTTTGAGCATTGAACTTTGGAAACAATGATTTGATTGCCCTGACCATGGAAACCCACTGGATGATCTTCAACAAGTTACACTTTCTCAGCCCTAGAGAACCCTTTGTTAGGGAAGGGATTGATACTAGGGGAAAAGGTTTTTCTTGGCCAGATTGAAATTGCTTCTGAAGATTTGTATCCTGTCCTTCAAGCAATGTAATGTGTGTTCGGATGGTACACACACCATTTTATCCTTTGCAATCATTCCTATAGGGAGATAAAGCTAAGAGGATGAGTGGCCATTGTGACTGAAAACATCTCTAAGCCTGTGAAATCCACCCTCGGCTTCTAATCCTTGTGATGCTCTGCCACCCCTTAATGGGATACCTTCCCTTTGCAACTATTTTGTGGATTTAATGCAGCATCTCTGCCTTGGTCCTTTCGCTTCATCTTTCCTTGCTCTCCCATCCTTTCTGGTCAACACTTCCCTCAAGACTCCTATTTTTCTTATCACTCCCGAAAATGCCTCCGTAAAGTAGTTAATATTTTAAAATAACTCAGGAGTGTGGGAGGACAACTTTTAAGTGCCTAAGAAGATCTCTGCACTATGATGTACCAAAAATGAAACCTTGCTGAGGGGTGAACACTTTTTCTGTCTTCCCCTAAGCTGCTCCTGATGGGAAAGCACTTAAAGGGTTATCATTTCCAAAGAACAAATGTAAAGGTTATCAACAGCAACCCTCTGTCTCTTTAATAGCATTTGACAGAGCTTGTCCTGGCAGGAAGATGTTACGTTGGTTGAAGTCAGATCTTTACCAGTCCATTTATAAAATAACACATTGATGCTTAGCAATTTTGGTTACAATGTCTCAGCAAGGAGGGAATGAGTCATAGTAGATGTATTACGTATACAGTCCTTCTACATTTGCTATTTTTACTTCCGTGTGTGGGGATGATTATTCAAGGATTTGATTAAATTGTTCTCTCTAGCAATCTCTAGATCTAGGCACAATTGAACACATCACAACCATAAAATCAAGAATGCATCAGTTTAAACGTTGCTGTTGTTAACAATTTCTTTGATAGCTAGCTTCGCCAGAATAAAAAAATCAGCCTACTGGTAGAAAAACAGAGCTGAGGACGACCAGAGTCTGCTAAAGTTACTTATTTTGCACTTTCAGAATCAGTAATTTTTGGCCAGCTGGTTAGGGGATTCTGGGAGCAGCATTAGAACTATTTCCTAAGTTCTGGGCACAATCAGTGTTTTTCATCATACATAATACAAAGCAGGCCATGGCAGGAATTAAGTTCTCTGGAGGTTAGCCCGCATTCTCCTTGTCTTTCTTTGTTCGCTTCCAGGTATCACAAGAGCCAGGCGATTTATCTGGAGTCCAAGGAGAACACCAAAATCAGCTGTGTCATCAGCTCTGTGGGAGCCAATGAGGTAAAGGCACTCCTGCCTTTTCCCAAAAGGCTTAGCTAGCCTAATCTGTTGTCTGGGGGCTTCCTTGGCAGATCTGAACCCCTTCAGAGTGTGGCATTAACACTTTTCTTACCAATCTTGCCACCCTAGATCTAAAGAAATAGATGAGAAATGACCGTGGGAACACAATACCTGGGTAGAAATAACAGCCAGAAATGATAGCAGGAGAAACCCCTGCCTTCCATCTGCGCTGCAACAAGTAAAGACATTGCAAAGTTGTGTGTGGAAAAAGCAAAATCGCTACTGGCAAAAATAGCAGAGAACAAGGAGGGCAATTGATAGGAAAATATTTTGTGTTGCTTGCTCAGCCTCTGAATTATGGCTGCGATTCAATGTGTCTTTTTCCATTAATAACGTGACTAGTCACAGCAATGTCATTATGTGCAGTGGGGCGATTATTCAAATGAGCATGCCGGCTTGTACTGAGAGATGCGTTAGAACATAACCTTAAATCAAATTTAGCAATTTCACTCTGATTAACATTAACAATAAGGGAGATAATGTGGTTAGGTGGCCGCATAATTGAAATTAAGTCCCGGCTCGTCCTTCTTGCCAGGAAGGCGCTTGAACTTGGGGTGGAGGCTTCCTCTGGAGTCAATTAGTTGATGCAGTCTGGCTTCAAAAGTTGGCTTGCGGGGAATAAGGTGATGTGTTGTCTTTAAGTTCCTTGGTTCAACCTTGGATGGCAATGTGGAGAGAGACATTTCAATCTTCCAAAGACTGTACCCCATACTGCATTTGCACCCACATAAGAGATCCCAAACTCACAATATTTTTTGCCCCTAGATGCCCATGGGTCGTAATTGATCCACCCAGACTCTTTAAGTGCAGACAAGAGCTATTTATTCTTTCCTTTTCTGCTCCCAAAAGCTTTCCTCATGTCTCTTTGCATTTGTTTTTTTGTGCAGATCTGGGTGCGGAAGACCAGCGACAGCACCAAGATGAGAATCTACCTTGGCCAGCTCCAGCGGGGCGCCTTTGTGATCCGCAGGCGATCAGCCGCATGACTTTTTGCCCGAGCCTCCTTCTTTTGTCAAAAGCAATCAGCTCTCCTGAGGACTCCCCCGGCCCCCTTGGAGGCAGCCGTTCTGCTGCCAGCATTGTTCCAACCTGCCAGGAAGCCCAAGCAATGTCCTGGGACTTGGCCTGAGGCTTCTTTAGCTGAGCCTTTCTTGCTTCCAAAGACTATTTAAAGAGAGTGTATGCCTGAGTTCTCCTTCTCCTACACAGTGAAAAAGGTACCCTTTTGTATCCTCAAGCCCAGTTGCCTTGAGGAGATAAGACCCAGTAGGCTGTTGAATGAGTGGTGAATGATTGAATGCAATCACCTGTTGAATTGCCAGTGTTTTGCCTTTGGGGACATTGTTGGGAGTGTTTTTAAGCTCCTGCCGCATCCTGGACTCCCTCTTGATTCTGTACATGATGAACTCAAAGAATGCCATTTGATCGCTCTGTAGCTGGGAGAACGCTTGAGTTTTCTCGGTAGCCCTTTATCTATCTCAGTAATGAGCATGGCAGGAGTGTTTTTCCCCCCTTTGGCTGATGCTTTCTGCGAAGGGCAAATCAAAAGCATATCTCGATTCTGGGGAAAGGGTTCCATTGGTGGCATTGCACAAATTGTGAGTGTCTGTCATTTACCCTGGGTGACTACAGACCTCCTTGGAAAGGGCTTTTCTTTTGCCAAACAACACATGCTTCCTGCGAAGGGCAAATCAAAAGTATATCCCGATTCTGGGCAAAGGATTCCATTGGTGGCATTGCACAAATTGTGAGTGTCTGTCATTTACCCTGGGTGACTGCAGACCTCCTTGGAAAGGGCTTTTCTTTTGCCAAACAACACATGCTTCCTGCGAAGGGCAAATCAAAAGCCTATCCCGATTCTGGGCAAAGGGTTCCATTGGTGGCATTGCACAAATTGTGAGTGTCTGTCTTTTATCCTGGGTGACTGCAGACCTCCTTGGAAAGGGCTTTTCTTTTGCCAAACAATACATGTCATGGGAGGCCTCCTTTTTGTGTGTAGGCCCCCAAACCGTCACCCAGTGCGAGCGAGACTTGTTCTTGATCCCAGGATTGTGCAGTTCCCAACTTTGAGGTCTTGTACTGTTCCTGTAACAGGATGGCAGCAGTGAAGTTGCTTCCAAAATATTTTGTATTTTCCAAACTTAGCTTGTGGTGTTTCTTTGATCCCCAGCTTCAGAATCAGCCATTTTCCTGGTGGCTTACATTCCTCTCGCAGCTTAGTTTTCACACCAACTCTCCTAGAACCAGGTTGCTGAATGGCTTCTGTCTGCTTATAGCAGTGGTTCTCAACCTGTGGGTCCCCAGATGTTTTTGCCTTCAACTCCCAGAAATCCTAACTGCTGGTAAACTGGCCTGGATTTCTGGGAGTTGTAGACCAAAACACCTGGGACCCACAGGTTAAGAACCACTGGCTTGTAGGAATTATGTGGAGCCTGCCTTGCTGCTCCTCATTCAGCCTCAGTCGGATGTTTCCGCCATCCTTCCATTTCCTATTATTTGCAGCCAGGTGGCAGCCAAGTCTCAGCATTTTGGGGTCCAGCTTCAAATCACCCAGCCAGGCTTTGGGTCTAGATGTGGCCATTCGAACAGCATACCTGTTTGATCCCTTCGCTTCTTCTCCACCTGTCTCAGTCATTCCCAACATGTAGTTGGATGTTCAAGATTCAGAAGCCAGTGACAGCCATCCAGAAAAGCCCATTTTCGGTCCCTCCCCATCAAAGTTTTGCTTGCAGGATGGAGAACCTTTGGTCTTCCAAACTGTTTGGCCTACTATCATACTACTACCTGTGATAATCGTAATATAATATACTATATCCATGATTCCTTGATGTTGGCCATGCTTGCTGAGACTTTTGGGAACTGAGGTTCAACGTTATCTCACTGCACCATTTCCAAGAGTTGTCTGTATGCACTTGATGTGAAGCAAAGTTATGAAGGTAATGTGAAGGAAACTGAAACATGGAATGGGGAACATTGATCTGTGTAGCTCAGTGAAGTCTACGCTCACTGACAACACTTCTCTGGGGTTTTGAAGGGGACTCCTTTCCAATTGAACCTGGAGGTGCTAGAGACTTGGGACCTTTTATGTGTAGCACTGTGTTGTGGCAGTAACCTGGTGGCACAAATGGAGACCAACCAGGAGTGCTCAGAAGTAGAACCTTTTCCTTCCACTGCCATTTAAAATAAGTAGCTCTGGCTCTTCCGTTAGGTGCCTGTGTCAGAGGGTGATTTGTAAGGGATGTTGGCTGGCATCCACATACTGTCTACTCATCAACCTCTTGGCTTGTTCTTGGGGTTCCTCAGATAACAGGTATTGTGAGTTGGGTGACCTGTGAGTTCTTCTGTATTGTAACTGGCACAGGTGGTACTGTGGGGCATTTGGCTGTGAAGAGACCTCTCCTCCCTTGGAGCTATACATTTGGATCTGTATGTAGAGAACAGCTTGGGTTGCTTTATGCAACTAGTGTTGCTCTCCATCAAGTGAGCTTGCCATCTGAGACCAACCATCAGCAGTAGTGATGGAACCCTCAAGTAGATCATTGGATAGGATGCTTTGATAAATCTCTTCTATCACCTTTTGACTTCATACAAGTAGGATCTGTTGGGCTTAAGAAGGATGATCTGACCTCTGGTGAGGGGTGAGTAAATGAGTAGTGGCAATGATGGCTGAAAGGTAGCTCTCACTTGTGGCTTCTGACTGGTGCATCTGTCAACAAGAGGTGGGTGCTTCTATGTTTCTTTGTTCACAGAATGATGTGGGGTTTTGGGGCTCATAAGCATTCAGGAGCAACCTGCAGTAACTAAATGAAGGGGTTGATCTACTGTAATACTGATCCTTCCATAACCACCTCTAGGATGAGACAACAGGTTTGGGATACACTTTTCTGTCTCTTCAAAGCCAGGTACTTGACCTTTTTTAGGCCTTCAGAGGTGAACATCCTTCCAGGAAATGTTTCTAGAGTAAACCGCTACAGATTCTATTTGGACAGAAAGGGGAACCACTTTTTCAGTACCCATTGGAAAGTCGAGATAGCATCTTGTCGGGAGGGGAATTGAAAGAAAGATGTGGCTCCTCCAGAACAGAACTAGTCTTCATTTTCTGTGGTTTTGCTGGCACTAGAAGCAGGTGCAGAGAAAATGACAAGCTTTTGTACCGTCAAATTCCAATATGCCAGGAGAACGCAAAACGATCAAGGGTTAGGAGATGTGCAGCACAAACACCTTTCCGACCATTTGCTTTGTTCCTATTGGGATTGTGGAAAGAGTTGCAGAGTTGGCAGGGTTTTGTGCAGTGCGGAGTAGTGGGGTTGTGTGTGCAGCATATCGAAGATAGCAGCATGCGAAGCTCTCATTTAGCAGTGAGGGCCCAAACCCAACAACCTGAAAATCTGCTTTTGTTTCAATTTTTAGCGTGCCTAGTTTCTCTTGTTCTCCCCTCCTTTTCAGGAAGCCTGAAATTGCATATGCTATTATTTTCTTGGTTTTCCTAGCAACCTTATGAGGTAAGTCAGGTTAAGAGAGGGCAGGCAGCTCAAAGTTACTTGTGGACCCTCATGGTTGAGGGAAGATATGTAATTATTACACTGTTCTCCCCCCCCCCTTTTTTTTTGTTTTTGTTTACATCAAGGCTCTGTTTTACAGTTGGAGATGGACACTGAATGTGCTATTGCCTTGTAAAATCCAGCTTCTGACAACACTTTGGTCTTCATTTATAAATAAAACTCAGATTTCTAGTATTTCCTGGTTGTACACTTAATGCTTAAAAGCTTAGATGACAATGCTGCAAAAATCTTGAATGCCACAGTTTTCAATGGGGAGTTTTCAATACCCTATATGTGGTATCCACCCCTATATGTGGAGACCCATTTCTTCCACATTTGAGTGAGCCCAAATGCCTGTTTTCTTCTGTGGCCCCTCAAAATTATTCTTGATATTATTATTGGTAGTAGCAGCATCCCACCTTTCACCCCATAGGGACTCAAGGCAGCTCAATTCCACATTATCTTCCTTTTCGGAGTTAGATTTAGAACTTGCCAAACCAAAAACTAGAAGAAAGGTGCAGAGCTGTCATTGGCTCTCCGTATTTTCAGATTCCCGTCATCCATGGCTTGGAAAATATTAATACATTTCGATAAGAGTTTCATGCTGGGTAGATGCAGAGAACACTGTGGATGTAGTGTATTTTGATTTCAGTAAGGCCTTCAACAAGGTCCCCTATGACCTGGCAAACAAACTAGTCAAATGTGGGCAAGGTAAAACTCTGGTTAGGTGGATCTGTAATTGGTTAAGCAAATGAACATAAAGGGTGCTCAGCAATGCTTCCTCTTCATCCTGGAAAGAAGTGACAAGGAGTGTCATAAGCAGGGTTCTGTCCTGGGCCGGGTTCTGTTCAATTCCTTTATTAGTGACTTAAATGAAGGCAGGATCATCAAGTTTGCAGATGACACCAAATCAGGAGGGATAGCTAATACTCCAGAAGACAGGAGCAGAATTCAAAACTCTTAACAGATTAGAGAGATGATTGGCCAAAATTAACAAAATGAAGTTCAACAGGGACAAATGCAAGATACTCCACTTAGACAGAAGAAATTAAATTCAAAAATACAGAATGGGGGACACCTGGCTCGACAGCAGTATATGTGAAAAAGATCTTGGAGGCCTCATGGACAGGAAAGTGAACATGAGCCAACAATATCATGCTGCAGCTAAAAAAGCCAATGGGATTTTGACCTGCGTAAATAGGAGTCTAGTGCCTAACTCCAGGGAAGTCATCTACCCTTCTATTCTGCCTTGGTCAGACCACACCTGGTATCACACTGTCCAATTCTGGGCACCGCAGTTTAAGTCAGTTGACTCTAAGCTGGAATATGTCAGAGGAGGGCGACTCAAAAGACCAAGAGTCTGGAGAACAAGCCTTATGAGGAGTGGCTTAAAGAGTTGGGCTTGTTTATCTTCCAAAGAGAAGGCTGAGAGGAGACATAATGAGGGCCATGGATCAAGATGTGAGGGGAAGTCATAGGGAGGAGGGAGCAAGCTTGTTTTCTGCTGCCCTGGAGACTAGGACGTGGAACAATGGCTTCAAACTACAGGAAAGGAGATTCCACCTGAACATTAGGAAGAACTTCATAACTGTGAGAGCTGTTCAGCAGTGGAACTCTCTGCCCAGGGTGTGGTGGATGTTCCTTTGGAGGCTTTTAAACAGCCATCTGTTGGGGGGGGGGGGGCTTGAATGCAATTTTCCTGCTTCTTGGCAGGAGGTTGGACTGGATGGCCCATGAGGTCTCTTCTAGCTCTAGGATTCTATGATTCTATAAATATTATCCTGTATATGAAGGACAGCATTATATACAAAGGAATTTGAGCATCCAAAAGATCAGTCAACGTAAATCAAAAAATCAAATTATTATTATTATTATTATTATTATTATTATTATTATTATTATTATTAACAACTTTATTTGTACCCCGGTAGCATCTCCCGAAGGACTCGATGCGGCTTACAAATCACTTGCTTAAGATAGAGACTCCCATCATCCACTAGTAAAGGATGTGGTTTGTAGTCTAATTTTTAAATAATTCCTCCAAAGTCCTTTAAAAATATTTTGGGGGGAAACGAGGCAGCAGGAAGTGACACAACACGTCTTGCTGCCATTTTGAGAGGAACTACAGAGAAAAAGTGACATATGGGTGGGTATTGTGTTTTGGGTGCTCGGATTATTTTATTTATTTATTTATTTATTTCACGACATCATTTAATATAAAAATTTGGAAAAAAATGGAAACCTAGATTGATGCCAGGAATATCAAAATGGACCCCGCTAGAGAGTCTTTACAAGAAGGAGTTTGATTCGTGCTGGTGGAGAGAAATGAGGGACAAGGGATATTATAGGATTAAAGACCTATATGATATGAATGGCCATCTTATCCCTATAAACAGAATAATAGATAAAATGGGAAACAAAAATTAGATTAAGATACTAGGTTTATATAATAAATGGAAACAAGGAAAGTATGGAGAATGTATAGGTAAGGAGAGTATAATGGAAGATATTTAAAAAGCACAGATTTCAGAGAAAGGGTTAATAGGAGTAATATACAAAGGAATGATCATAGATGAGGAATATATTATAAGAACATTACAAAATAAATGGGAAAAAGAGGGAGTACTCACAAATAATAGAGGACTTAATAAGAGAGGCTAGGAAAATCAAAATAGAGAAGTTCAAAGAAATGGAAAGGAAATTTTTATGGAAATGGTATTGTACCCCAGCACAGTTATCAAACATGATTAATAGTAAAAGCTCAACTTGTTGGCATTGTGGCTTAAGCAAAGGATGGTATGGACATATGTGGTGGGAATGTCCAAAAAAACCCAAACATTCTGGGAACAAATAACAGGAAAAATGGAGAAAATATTTAAGATACCACTTCAAATAAATATGGAGTTGATTGTTCATGGGTATATTAGGAAACAGGAAGATCGATCCAAAATATCAAGATCTATTCAAAGCAATGTTTCTTGCAGGGAAGGCTGTAATAGCTTGGGGTTGGAAAGATGCAAAAAATGGAATATGGTTAATTGGAATAATTATTTGTTTGACCAGGTCCAATTAGAAATTATTGCAAATGCAACCTGCGAGGATATGAAGGAAGATAAAATGAGGAAAATTAAAGAGAAATGGTTCATATATTCGGAATGGATAAAAAGAAGCGAAGCCAATGTAAATATTGTACAGAGATGGGAAAAGCTGAGCCCATGGATGGAATTAGAGTTCTAAAGGAAATGTGGTATGGGTTTGGGGTGGGGGAGGGAAAAAACAAAAACAAAAGAGTGAATGAACTCTTAAGACATACTAGATAAGTGAGTGGACAATATTGAATGAAGGAGGTGGAGGATAATGGAAGGGTGTAGAGAAATGTGGTTATTGACAACTTTCATGTATTGTATAAATCCACTCACAAAGCAAAATACCAATAAAATATTTTTTTAAATGACATTTAATATTAAAACGTGGAATTAAAAACATACCAATATAAACATTAAAATCACATAATTCAACAATTGCTGCCCAGGCCATTCCAAATATATCTATTGCACATAATCTCTGATCATTCCTTGTACTGCTTACTGCCCAAAGGCTTGGTCCCATAGCCAAGTGTTTACTTTTCTTCTGAAGGCCAGGAGGAAGAGTGCTGATTTAATGTTGTTGGGGAAGGAGTTCCATAGCCTAGGAGCCACCACTGAGAAGGCCCTGTCTCTCGTCCCTGCTAGTCGCACTTGTGAGGGAAGTGGAACTGAGAGCAGGGCCTCCCCAAATCTTAATCTCTGAGAAGGTTCATAGAGACAGATACATTCACATAGGTAAGTTGGGCCGGAACCATTTAGGGCTTTATAGGCTAAAGCCAGGACTTTGAGTTGTCCTTGGTAACAGACTAGCAGCCAGTGGACCTGGCGTAACAAGGGGCTTGTATGCTCCCTGTACCATGCTCCACTGAGCAACCTGTCTGCTGCTTGTTGGACCAACTGAAGCTTCCAAACAGTCTTCGCAGGCAACTCCATGTAGAGTTCGTTGCAGTAGTCTATACGGGATGTAACCAGAGCGTGGACTACTGTGGCCAAGTCTGACTTCCCATGGTACAGGTGCAACTGGCGCACAAGCTTAAGTTGTGCAAAAGCTCTCCTAGCCACCGCCGAAACCTGGGTTCCAGGCTCAGTGATGAGTCCAGGAGAACTCCCAAGCTGCGAACTTGTGTCTTCAGGGGGAGTGTAACCCTGTCCAACACCAGCTGTAACCCAATGCCCTGTTTGGCCTCATGACTGACCTCTGTCTTGTCTGGATTCAACTTCAGTTTGTTTGCCCTCATCAGAGCTGCCAAGCACTGGTTCAGGACCAGAACAGCCTCCTTAGTGGTAGGTGAAAAGGGTGGACGTCATCTTTGTACAGATGACATAAAACTCCAGATGATCTCCCAGTGGCTTCACATATATATAAACATGGGGGACAATACTGAATCCTGCAGGACCCCACAAGATAAAGGCTGCGGGGCTGAGTAGGTGTCCCCCAACAATACCTTCTGGGAACAGGACTGGAGCCACTGTAAGGCAGTACCTTCAAGCCCCATTCCAGCGAGGTGTACCAGAGGGATACTGTGGTCTATGGCATCGAAGGCTGCTGGGATGTCCAGGAGAATCAACAGGGGCACACTTCCCTGCCCAGTTTCCTACACAGATCATCCACTAAAGCGACCAAGGCTGTTTCATTTCCATGACACAGTCTAAAGCCAGACTGTACCGGATCTAGGTAACCAGTGTCTTCCAAGAACACCTGGAGTTGCGAGGCCACCACACGTTCCATGACTTTGCCCCAAAAGGGGAGATTGGGCACAGGCCAAAAGTTGTTGAGTTGAGTGGGGTTCAACAGCAGTTTTATTACAGCTTCTTTTAAGCTGGCTGGAATTTTGCCTTCCCGTAGGGAGAGATTAACCACCAGCTTCACCCACTTGGCCAAACCCCCTCTGACTTCTTTTATCAACCAGGATGAGCAAGGGTAAAGGAGGAAAGTGGTTGCCCTTCTCCAAATATCTTGTCTAGAACCTCAAGCTACACGAATTGAAATGAATCCATCAAAACTGGACAAGCAGATGCTCGTGTTACATCCTCAAGAGACTGCCGTTAACGTGGTGTCAGGGTCGGAGCAGATTAAAGCGACTTGGTCCAAAAAGACCCGAACAAATG